CTCCCTCTTTTTGCAAACTCTGCTGAAGTTTTTCTATTGCATGTATTAAATTCAGAGTTCTTTGCCTGTGTCCTTGAAGCAAAGATTGGAGGGGAGGGGGGCTAAAAAATGGCTCTGATGTTTACTGTTTTTATTTTTTTAGAATTATCCTTTACTTGATCCACCAAAGGTCAGTGAGGGTTATCAGCCTTTTCTTTCATTATTAATCCTTCTATCAGCCTTGAGAGATAGGCTAATATGGTGTATATGTGTGAGTGTGTTTGAATGACAGAATTGAAGACTGTATCTGTCAAGATTTAAAGCCAGTGCTCTGTCCACAGTATAATCCATCTCTACTTTCTAAATTCTAGGATCAGGAAAAAAAGGAAAATCACCTGAAAGCAGATTAAAAAATATTAGTGTAGCTCAGATTGCAATTAATATAGGGTGTGGCTTTCTCCTGCACAGAAATCAGCATTTTTTAGTTGAGGGTAATCATTTCTGGTTATTGATTTATTAGCCCTATATCTAGTTAGAGAACTCAAGTTATAAGAGAGGAGTTTCCAGATGAACATTGGGAAAAGCTTCCTAACAAGTCAAGCAGCCTGGCAGTGGGACCAGTTGTTCTGGGGAGACAGGGCTCCCTCGTTTCCCTTTGCTGGAGGTGTTCAGATAGAGGTTGGGCATGCATTTGTGAGGGAAGGTTTAATTTGGATTCCTGCGTGAAGCCGAAGGTTGGATTTGGTCTAAAAGACATTTATCAATGCTGTGATTTTATTGAAGGTGCGGAACGTCCTTCCTCCATTCATCCTTCCATAGACTAGGCTTCCTTAATAATTTGCCCACAGATATTTGGGGGGGGGGTGCAGTTTCCAGAATAGCTAGTCTTTGGTTATTGTGCCTGGGAATTCTGGGCATTGCAATCCCAATATACTTAGAGGGTGATGTTGCTGAAGAAGTGTGTTATAGCATGGAGAAAATGTGACCCAGAAAATTGGGACTTGCTTACAAAATCTATTTAACCTGGGGCTGACCTAAAGGCTGATACCATGGCTTTATGATTTCTCCAAGATATTATGGTAACTGTAAAATTGGTGCCACAACTGTGTGGCTATATGTTGGCTACAATGCAAAAATATTAGCATAATCTGTTTTCTTCCAGGCACCCTTTCTTTTTAGGTGCCAGTAACCACTGGATACTTGAATACCTGTGCCCCAATTCATAGATATGTCTTGCCTTAATGATGGGATGGCAGCTTCCTGTAAATCCCAGCAGCTGTTTTGGAAATGATTTTTTGCCCTGCCCCCCCACCCCCCCACCAGATAGCGCTGCTGATAACAAAGTGCTTTCTAAAGTTCCCTCAGTATCAAAAGCTGTTGGGTATGTAAGTGGG